GACCCTCGTTCACTTGAGATGGGAAGGTTTCCCCACCCGACTACTATTTGTTCCTATCAGTGCATCACGTCTAAGTGAATAGACAATTTAAAACGTCGAAGGATGTGCGCAAATGTGTTGAAGCATGCACGTTTCCACCGCGGAGGTACTCGTACGTTACCTGAGAGATGGTGCCAAGTTATAAAACGACTAAGTTCTCTGGTCTCGGTATTTTCTAATGAATATATTGGCTGAAAAATCTGTACAGCACAAGCCATGCAGCTAATATTTACCCCACATTTTCTCCTTTTCTGTTTTACGAAAACGTTGATGATTGAAGTAGCAGTTAGCGTAAGTCTAACAAATCCTCAATAATCGCATCGTATGGTTTTTTTGCATTTTAGTGAAAGACAACTGTGGTAAGTTGCCTGAGTCATTGGTTTGGCCTTGTTTAACTAAACTGCATGTACGATAATGGCACTAGCTGTGTGTGAAGAAATAGGTAGCATTTGATCGATTTAAACGCTGTCTTCCTACAAGCAAACAACATTCTTGTGCCTTCTTTCCTTACCCCTTCACTGTGTCTGTTAATGTACAAATCACACACAACACGAATTGCGATTGATTCCTTTCTGTGTGATGTATTTGTGTTTGCGTCCTACGACATCTATTCCCCTATTTCATATTTACCTTGTGTTTGTAACAATAAATTCATTTATTTACTTTGTTTACCATACATTTCGACAGCCACCACTTTCTGCTATTTATCTGTATTTTCAATGTGCTAAACATGGTCTTTATACATGTTTTTTTTAAAAAAACTGTTTTCTTGGTCTACAAATCTATCCACTGTCTCCCAAACATGCCGCATCAATGAGAAACATTCATTGCGACGGTGATCTTCGGAGTTAACTTAAAATTTTACTGGTCTTGATTGAGGAACTATCACTCTTCTGCATGTCTGGCAACAAGACTAGAATTGTCGTTGACATGGGGACATTTAAGACACAGGAAATAAATGTTTGTATTTCTTAAACAGTTGGGAGGCACTGTTGCATTGACATGCCCTTCACAGAAGCCGAAATGATTCCTGCGGAAGACGAAGTCCCTTTTTTTCTTCCGCCATTCAAAAGTGGACCTATGAACAGGCCAAAGTCACTGTGTCATGACAAAGCACGATATTGGTAAAGCGTTAACTATCAGACACGCGTTTAAGAACATGCAGCAACTAGCCACAATGTGATCCGATCTATTTGCAAATCCAACTGTCTCAACAGTAGTGGGATCTGAATAACTGATAATGCGCAAAGTAATAATGATTAGCAGAATGGCGCTCCAAAACAAACAATTTTCAATTCACACACCACGAAGAAATTTGCCCAAAATGTCTCAAAATTGTATAATGCTGGAAGGAAATGAGCTGCAAAGAACTAGAAAACCAGCAGAAGCTCAAGAACTGTGCTTGGTAAAGACATTCTGGACTCAAAACACACAATAAATACTCTAGACATAGTGAAAGTCTTTTTTAATTAACCTGTAGCAGCAATTTCCATAAAAAGAATTATATGCGAAGCATTAGTTTGAATGCATTCAGCTGAATTATGCTGTTCAATTCATACTATGTTAAGAAAAAAGGGAATTAAAGCGACTAAATACGACAAATGGCATAGTGAATACTCAATGAATGCTTTGATACAAGACACGAAAAGTAGTCAACAATTGTCCTAAGGTGAAATATTATTGTGCGTGGAAAACTTGCATGGCTAGTTAAGCAGTAGAAGTAAAGACAAATGGTTAATTTCAGGCATAGCGTTAATTGTTGCCATTCACAGGCGCCTTTTTTCACATATGTCTTTGCAGCCCCATGCCTCAGAAAGTTCTTTCCATTCCCTCACATTCGCGAATGCTAAGTAGTCAATGTGAAGCACATTTTCTAAACTTAAAGCGTTATCAAAGGCTGGAGCACATTTGATCCTAGCCAAAGCCCGATTATCATGAATACGTTCTTCTGCTGAACCTCTTCAATGGAACGGTTTCCCTGTAAATTCACAAACCATCCACTACTGCAACCTAAAGTGGTAGTTTATTGCATGGATAAACTTGCATGAATAGTTAGGCAAAAATGAGCCCACAACACTCAGAGGACAGCTGTGTTGGTGATCTAGCATTCCCCATGACGGCTAATCGGGGCTAGGATTTCTCCATTGTTTGCACAATTTCCCTAACCACGCCAGCTACGGCACCCACTGACAGCCACCTTGATCCACCAGGTCAAGGTCATCCGTGACCTGTATATGTGGGCACATCCTGACACCAGAATCTCTCTGCATGAGGTCCCGTCTTACAGCAGTGTGGAAAGGTGGGGTCTGGCGTCAGACTAGAAGTCTGGTGCATCGGTTATCTGATGGTGTGGTATTTGGTTGCAGGCAAAACGCAACAAACTTGACATCGAAGTCTTCTCACTGCTGGTAGTGTGCGAGAATTCACCTCTTGGCGACTGCTATTGGCACACGAAAACAATGAAACCATTTGCTCAATTTTGGGTAAACTTCACATAGTCAGTGACAAAATGTTTCTGTAGTGAATCGTGCTGATGTAGGTCCATTATCTGCCTCACAGAGCCCATTTTCACTGCGCCCCTATCAAACATGCCAAACCGTCTGCCTCTCCATGCTGCGCATTTCGTTCGTCTGGCAATTCAAAATCGTGTACTTTTATGGGTTTATCCGCACTGTATTGGTCACCGACTCCTGCTCCATTGAAAAATCTACAGAAAACACAAATATGCAGAATCTACTATCTTATTCAGTGGCTCACAGCACTTTTACCGAATTCTGTAGACAACATTTCATTGTGCATATTTCATTCCCACCCTAACGCCTGCAATCAATTTGACATGTTAAGCATCCCTCGCGTAATTATCATGGTGAGTGAGTGATGTTGACCAAATCTTCTACGTCAAATGATGCTTTACCAAATCTACAATCACTGTGACTCGTGTTTATACACAAGCCTTAATCCGGCTGCTCCACCCTCCGACACAGGATTCCCCTTTTCACAGGATGTCTCCAGCCGCGCGGATCCTCAACTCCCCCCTCATTAGCAAAACATTTATGTTGTATTATCCTCACACCTAGGTCTCGATGTTAGCGCTTGTATGACTCACGCATCTGAGGTATAAATACACACGCGCAAATACTACTCAAGACACAACGACACCAACGTGGTTGAGCTCTGAAGTAAACGGTTGTGTCCAAGTCGTCCTCTTCGGTCTTTTTCCTTCATCGCACGTATCAGGGTACAGTGTAAAAAGCTCTGAGCGATCGACGTATGCGCCTGCAAGATCTATGGGAATTGTTTGGAGTTGAATTAGGAGTCAGCACGTTGAACGATTGTACGTTGACACGGAAAGGTAAACCATGGTGTGACGGTGGGTCACGACACTTGGCCGGTGCAACAGAAATGACATCGAAGAAAAAGGCGCAGAGAGGTATCCTATAGGAAGAGGTGCATCCCACGAAACGTGTAATTTGTAATGAAGAAAGAATTTGTGGTAAATTAGACATTATTTTCCTTTCTGGAAACACCTGGAAAAACATAGTGGGAAGACGACAAACAGAAATATGTAATTGTTCAAGTGATAACATCCGTTTCGACACACAAATAACTCAATGTAATGACTACACATCAATCAATTTCCGCTTAAACAAAGAAAATCTTTTAACACAAGGGCTTAGCAGCAAGGGAATTTGCATGCTCGACCATTAAACCAGACGTAACTGATGCCAGAGTAATATAATTACGTAGTCGAGGGTACTAGTTATCCAATAGTGTAGTGAAATACCAGTCCTTATCATGATTAAAACTAACATGAAATTCGCTATACAGAATTGCTTGTTTTAAAATGTGAATTCGGTAGAACGAGAGAATGAAATGAGCTCAAATGCCCTCACTTCTATAAATGAGTTTAACCAACTGTCGTTGTGGTTTTTACGACCCTTGCTCAGTCGCTGAATGATTTAACGATAACCAAACACAGTTGTGGCATTTTGACAACTAAAGAAGGATTGATGAGGGAGCTTAGTTAGCTGGAAATTTTCGCCAGATTAAAATTATATCCTCATTTCGAAATTAAAATAAAAAGGCATGTGTTGCTTGAAAACAAAACAAGTTGTTTCATTTGTATGAATAAAAAATTATCCTATACGTAGCACAGGAAATTCACCTACATCCTTGTAATGGTTACCTTTCCTTCAAAATTACGAGTTTTCGCGTGTGCAGTGAATACAATAAGTACTGAATAAGGAGAGACATGTCTGCACAGTTGTTTAAACAGGTTAAATTGGCGAACGATAGCGAATTAAACATATCGAGAGAGTGTATTACAATGAATCCTTGGATATGCTACATCAAATTTATTACGACGTCATTCTCGTGATTACGACACTACATATAAAAATTGTGCTATTTGTAATCACAGGCCAGTTAAGTTTTAGTATGAACAAGTGTGGCAAAGTTCAAGAACCCACTATAAATATCGGCTTTTGAATTAAAGTCTTTAATCACATGACCTTCCAATACTTTCTAGTCCACGCAGATAATGCCCAAGTGCAAATAGGAACACATGCGGTTATTGTATTGTATAGCACTTTCGACTAAAAGAAGGCTGTACTTTCTACATCAACTAGCCACTACAGTTTTGGGCCAGCAACCAGCCACCGTGCGTCACATCTTCAGTGGTAATTACCTCAACTTCAGGTTTCGAATATTCCTCCCTAGGTAACCCATTCTCGACTATCGACACTTGTATGGCAGATCAGTTCGATCCACTTTTGCCGTGTTTCTCAACTCTCAACCGTATTAAAACACCCTAACAATCTCAAAGCAGTAATCTGTCATCACGTGCCACCTTGCCTACGATCAACCATCCGAACATCCTTCTTGAGGAAAAGGTTGAGACACAGGCAACTAATCACCACAAGCCACAATTACACCAATCATATCAGCCATTTCATTGGAACGAATGTATTGGACTGACAGCCACCTCGAGTGGGAGCTGCGTGAATGAGGACCCGAGTGGACCAATGACTCACACCTTTTGTTATTTGACATTGTCAGCATTCGCCTGTTATCCACGCGGACTTATTCGCACACAAAGCCACTTGGCTAGTTGGATACCAATAAACGGTGGTGTACTCTGTCGCCCCCTCTCTTCCTTATTCTTCGGTAGTTATGGGCTGTTAATTAGAGGGTTGTAAGGCAGTGCTAAATCTCCAGCCGCTGCACAAATTCTAGTTCAATAACTAACATTAATAATGGCCGCAAGTCGACTCCACTGGATCTACGGCCTACCTTCCATTCGAAGCTAATTTTCAAACTTGGCTAAGAGCCGTTTACTCGCTGATCGGCCTAATCCGGGAGGTGGCAAGTTTAATTGCACTCCGTTGTTCAAAGTGGCATCCGATTTGCAGTTTTTGGCACAACACCAGCCCCCTTCTAGATTAGCACTAATAGCATGACGACGGAACTGATGTGATTTGAGAAACTGACACGGTGTGTGCCAGCCCATATTGTAGTAGCAATGTACAATGTTCAGGTGTCCTAAGGTAAACTACGAGCCTGAGTTTCTCTCACATTCACAAAACCAAGCGGATCAAATAACCTTGCACTTCCTAAATTAGCAGGACTAGATTGACGAGTGGTCGCTTTGGCTGAAGCCAGGTGTTTAGTCATGTCCTGGTGACGAATATTGGCCCCCTTTTTTCTACAAACCCGCATTCTCCATCTACGATGGCCGCAAATCGACTCCTCAAAACACACGGTTACCGTCAGTAATCCTGGTGTAAAAAAAGGTAGGTCGAAACCTCCGACAAGTCGGGGAGTTGTGACGAGTGGTGCAAATCGACAAAACACATTAGCGCTGTCACTGCAGTCGCCAAAACACCGCCCCCACCACCTCACCTCAGCGTCGCCACTGATGACGCCTAGACATCTGTCCACACACCCTTGCGTACATACACCCCCTCTGTCACTCGTACTTCGTCTGGCTAACCCAAATTCTATTGGTCAGGAGCTTCATGAGTCATGTACGACTTGGAGTGCACGCACAAAGCGACATCGCACAGGCTGGCTGAGCCAGCCGGCGGACGGTTGTCTCCGACTCCGTTCCTCTCCTCGTCTTCTTGGGCTACGGAAAACGTGTGGAGGGCACAAATGATGCGGAAGACGAGTTTCATTTCAATCTACATAGAAGCGAGTTGGTGAGTACGCTGGTTCTTTCCTGTGTTCGTGATCTCATTGATGCCCATTTGAGATAACGTTTCACTTCAAAGTAGGCAAAATCTAGAACAGCTTATAGCATATCAAAACAGGCTCTCGACACTTGTGTGGGACAGTTAAATGCACTTGGAGCCATGCTTCCCGAAACATTTTGACAATTCAAAAAAGGAATTTGCAGTAGACACGACACACACACGGCATCCTTCAGTTTATCGGCAAATTAGCTATTGTGATGCTGGAAAATCGATTCCAGGGCAGCTGGTAGGTTTTCTTTCATGGAGGTCATAAAAATCCCGCTCTTTTGTTTATGGCGCATGCCGGCACCTTTTTGAAACATGAATTTGTCGTTTTTGCAATTTTTCCATCAGTGCAACGGATGTTTAACATGCTATCGATTGAGTTCAATACCAACTCGTAGGTATGTTACAACTTCGAAGTACTCTTTGAACACTTCGCCCTTTTTTAAAAACCCGTAAAATGTAAAGAATTTTGCAGTGAAGTTGCATGCCATGTACTAGCCGAGGCGGCTTTCCAAACTCAGTTAGTCGGTGAAACCTGGACGTCAGGGAAAGCTACTCACTGGATCACATTTGCGAAAATATATTACCGGATCATGCGAATTCTGATGTTAACTTCATTCGGGAGTGTACGAGGCACCACCTCACTACCAAGATAGCTACTGTTGTTGGCGATAGGGGGAACCTAGAACAGCCATCAGCCATTGGTCGAGCGTGAGTACTGCATTCCACTTGGTGAGCGGCTGTGGCAGGTCAAATGATGGTACAAATCCCTCTTGTCAATCCGTTCACAAATGTGTTGTCTGTTATGGAGGCCACGGACGAAGGTTAAGTGGCAAGTCAACCCACTGACAATTCCCTTTTCATCTAGATGCCGATGGTACTATTCAATGCACACGGACCTTATTCGACAACTGAATGAGGATGTCAAGGCACCTTTTATTCTGAAGGGATCATGCCACCTTCACGACCATCAACGACCATGCTTGGAACATTCCAGATGACCATACAACCATTGCAGAATCATTGGCTCTGAACTCCTCAGAGTTGTCCTTGGAGTAGTCGAAAATGAGCCTACGTAAATATTGCCAGGATTGCAAAAGGATGACACACTGACGATCGAGGTTAGGCAAATGAATTCGTTACAGGAGTTCAATTTTGCAAAGACTCAATGAGGTATGTTTCGGAAATAGCAGGCACGTTAAGTTGTAGAATTTCAGTGTAATAAATTTACGAGAGTCATGGCATCTGACCTCCCAGTTTAAAAAGCACTTAAACTAGAATCGCTGACGTAATTTTACGTGTTTACTTGTAGGGATCGGCAGGTGAAGGAGCCCATGATCGACCAATTGATAAACGCTGCGCAGTTATGTGGAGATGTTGGATTGTAGCAGCTCTTTCGGCTTTGGCTCGTGTTTGGCGGTACTCTACGGCTTCCCACTCTTCCATCTGCGCAGCACCTAGCCTTTGGTGTGCGTCGGCCACGGTTTAATGGTTGATAGGTAGCGCTCCAGGAACTACACCACCAATAAGGTTGGCATATCCGTCAATTCCCAACAAGGATTACAATTAGATGTCGTGAATACTTGCTTATGACTACGCAGCAGCAATATTTTGACAAATCAACTGTCCCTCCATTCTAGTGAAATCCGACACCTGACTCTGTCGATGAAGTCTAACCTTCTTCGCGCGGCTCTGGCACCTATGCATTACTAGAAGCGAGCTGAATGGCATTATCATAAGCTTGACGCGGAAAATCAATAATTTGCAAGAATTTACATCGAACCAGCGCATCAAGAAACCGCCGTAAGAGCACCAATTAATGCACATAAATCGGAGGAAAAACTCATGTTCTTCGATTTCGGATTCCTACATGAATCGCCCGCAGCATCGAATCCTCGGTAAACGCTGGACGACGAGGTGATGCTCCAGTATGTCATTTTGCTACTTGAGAACGTAAAATGGGATGTTTGAAATTGTGGGAAAGGCACGTCTTGCGCAGTACTAATGTGTGTGATTTGACCTTTCAAGTGATATTTGTAGACTCAATGAACTTTCGCAATATGTTCAATTTAAGGTATATTAACAATGAGTTGCCTCTGTGTCGCAACACATTCCTTCATCGCAATAACCGTGGAAACATGTTTGGGCATTTAATGCTAGCTTCTCCCGACCTATCGACTCAATTTTACTAGTCAAACAGGCAAGCCATTCACGAAGAAAGATTACTGAGGACGTTTCCCGCATAATGATGATGATGATGATGATAAAACCGCCGTATTTTAACAATTCTACTTTTAGCAACTCACGCGTCACTGCCCTGTGTGCAGCAACGGTGTTATGTGGATTCTGAAGCCGGTGTTCATGGCCTGGAAAGATGTTCCGTTCTGTCGGCAGAATGCTGTTAATCCTAATAAGGTGCGAAGTAAGCAGGCGAGGAATGGACAAATCCTCCACGTTTTTTGTCCGATTTGGGTCTTCGTTTGACACGAAAGCCTTGTAGCTTCCCATTGGGAGCTAACTCAACGGGCGCTTTCAGAGCACCTATAAGTAAGTCATCTTGTTTTTAATCGACTTAACTTGTGCATAACTCTTTGGTGTTTGCTGAGGGCACCCGTGGCTACCTAGTCAAGTAGTCCCTGTTTGTGGGTAAATCTTACGAATAAACTAGTCCACCAATTTAACTAATTTAGTAATTAATTGGAATTATCAGTCCACTCTAAGATACGTTACTTGTGATAACCAAGAACTCCTGCATAGCGCATAGCACCAAATAAACCACGTAATCGGTGGCTGCATGTTGTACCGTGAGTTCTCACTTCGTCTGGCGTTTGAGCGGGTCCTTGCCACGTCTCCCGACCCACGGCGGCCTAGACATTCCACGTTTTGCTGGTACATCTTTTCAATCTATTCTAGTCTGAGTTAACCAGAACACTATCCTCATGTGGCGACTTGTTCCCACCCCTGTAGGTACGAGCTAGTCCATTACTCCTGTTCCTAATTAACTTGATGCATTTTTGCTATCCCGCACAAACTAGAATGCCTTTTTTAAGGTGACAAAACAAGCTACAGACACTTGTTGGTGACATTTGCAACATTAAGTACCAGATTTGACACTAACCGTTGACATCTCAAACAATGGCAACTGTAGTAGACGGGCAACATGACAGGCCCCTCCTTCATTGCGTGGCACTGAATCGGGCGAAAACAGATATCAAAAAACGGCTTGGTCTGATGTGTGCATGTGCGTTTATGAAGAACTTGTTTCCGACATCCAATGGCAGGTCAGGCTGAATGAGCGACAACAATTAACTTGAAGTAAACCTCTTCGCCCGCACACCTCCACTGTAACTTCACACAATGCCCCATCACATTGGAGTTTATACGTTTTGAAGTAGATAACATTGTTATCATAATGTGATAAATGACGGTAATTTTTCAGTTCTTTTGGTTTGTATATGATTGGTTAGAGTTAGGGTCAAAATTGGATACGCCTCTAATCGTTTCGGAGTTAGCATCTCCTAGTCCTGCTCCACCGTTTCGTGGTTTCAATCACAAACCTCGTTTTGGAAAGTCCTGATTCCTGTCCAATTCTGCCTTGTGATTGGTCCCAGTTTTAATTGCTAATTCGCACAAACAAGAGGGATAGTTGCTACTCAAGAACATCCAAAGTTCCAAATGCAACATATCATTAACAGAAAAATTGGTGTTTCCTAGTAAGATGTTAAAATTACTGGCACCAGCGTAGGCTTCGTTTGGTGTAATCGATGCTGGATGCTTTTCCGCTTCGCATTTTCCGCCCATGCCAATCAAGCATTACTTTGATGGGTTTTAAGTGTTGCGAAGGCATCAGAATGATACTGCAACTTATTAAAGGCACAAATCCAAGTAAAGAAGTGTGATTTCGGCTTAAGCTAAAGCTAGATGTGAGTCAGAAGGTAGTTTTGACACATGGCGTTTTGAAGTAGCAATTTCTGCCCTTTGATGGGATTTGTGTTACTCTGGAAACGCATGGCGCCGCCATCTTGTCATTTTACACGATTATTTCATTTCTTAATGCACAACAATTAGTCGATTCCTAGGTTTAGCGTTGTAGTTTGAAGGAGTTGCGATCGATATAGAGCACCAGCGGTGTTTCTAGTGAAATTAAAGAATCGATCAATGGTGGTCGTCAAAATGAGGCAAAGGTCACTCAAGTTCCACAGAAGGTCAGGGCGTCGTTATTTCATTAAGAACAAGGTGAAGGTACCCACGATCTTGCCGTCGTGCCTTAGTGAGTTGACGTTGTGGAAGAAATCGTCCAGCCTAGAACCGGGTCAGGATGAAATGCATGATCCAAGATTGACAAAGCGCAATTACACCCCATCCAGAAACGCTATTTCATTATGCATCATTCTATGCCTGCCTTTCTTTCGACAGTCTCAATGGACCTGACTACGTTTCGACAAACTATGAAGGATATCGACAGCAGACGTCTGTGCACTTGATGGAAGTCGCCTTCACGGGTACAACAGCTCGTAGTTGCCCAGGTTGGTAAGCAGCAGTGTGTCCTCAGGTTGGGTCTCAGGTGTTGCATCCTGCTAAACACACTACATCCTTCATTTGAATTAGTGTCTACTAATTGCTTCATTCAGGAGAGGTGGATCTATAGCCAAAGAGAATAATCAATCAATCGCAGTAATTATCTGGATGCGGATGACACCAAGTACCCACTTTGTATAAGTTTGGATGTAATAATAGGCATTTAAACGACGAGGTAACGCATTACTGACTTTGGTCAACTCCTGTGCGATCAGGTTGTTTGCCTTCATGTTGCATCAATCAAGTGTTAATGCTAGTATGTCATTAACCTGATTAGGAAATGAATGCGCATTGAACTTTCCAAGTAATTTTGAATGTACCTTATTTGCAGGTGGTTGATTGATTTGGTGTCTTCTCATTTGGTGGACGGCCTCATCCAGTTTTTTTCCACTAATTCAATACTCAAGGTGATTCATGAAGGAATTTTTAATTTGCAACCACAAACAGTCCCCTCGCTTACCCCCCTTCGACCAGGTGATCTGATGCTGGTGTCTTGATCCTCTTTACAGGCCATCATTTCTGCAAATTATTGAGATTTTGCGTGAAGCGAATGATGATGACATTCGGTCACCTTCGAAGAATGCGCAGGTACCACAGCCGCTTTGACGGAAGGGAGATCTTGTCGACAAAATCAGAAACGGGTCGGTTTCACGGAGTCGATGGGACAGTCGATTTGTCCAATATGGCTGCGTACGTGCAGTGATATCTGTGTTCGACATATGAGCGCAAACATTTGTGGGATTAGCCAAGTGCAGCCGCATGAAACAGGGTTTGTTGTAGTGCTTTGAATTTGATCTCAATTTGATACACTGCCTCATGGAATAGCAACAAAGTAGTCATCATCTAGTGATTCCCGGTATGTATTTAGGTCGCATAGCTGCAGCCCAGACTAAAGGGCGTGAAATACAACAGGTCTGGAAATTTTAAGTCAACTCTAGAAGACCTACCACTATCCCCCATTTCCACGAAATTGCGGAGATGTGCCAATTACCCGACCCCGATCAAATGTCCTACCCATTTCACGAAGCAAGAAGCCTTTGATAGACCGGATTAGCTTCCATGCTGTCTGCGTTGGCACTCAGTTTAGCATGCAGGCTGAGATTGTAGCAACCATGTGTCCTAAGTCAAAACATTAAGCCACGTATGATATAGTAGCATAGGTACTTTTTTTCGATTCGCAGATCTTGAACTGTGACTTCTGTAATTGTAGTCGACTGAAATGGAACAAATTGACGGGCTTGTTATTTCCAACCGTACATTGTTGGGTCACCACGTCAACAGTGTGTTCAGACATCTACTTGCGGGCATTGGTGTGTGTGTACTATCTTCGCGTACTCGACTTGACTCAAGTGAGCTCATTTACGATAACTCCAACAAGGACCCTGAAGGTTTTCAGCCAAGATGCACATGGTCATTCGGTATCTCCCAAACGGGGTCACTGACGATCGTGAATCTGCCTTTTCCATCAGAAGAGAAGTTACCTTGTCGTATGTATTCAGTTGCTAACAAAGGTCTGTGTGTATGGAATAGCACCACTGACATCTAGACAAGAATAAATGATTTATCAACAATAATTGATTTTGTGCTCTTAATGAGTTTGCCGTTTTATCTGTGAATCAACACCAAACACGGTTACCTTGCTGTGCCTTTGGGTATACATTGCCCTGCATTGGGATGGGTCGCTACTCTCAACATCACGGCATTGCATTTATGAGAGACGCGTAACCAGCATTCTGGAATTCCAGTATTCCGTGTGCTAGATCTGACCGCTTTATCTCATGCCCTGGTTTTGAGTCATATTAAAACGGACAGCGCAATTATTGAGGTGGTCTCAACTGGCAAATAGACTTTAGTCCAGTTTTAGTCAA